CTCTCCCATCCTTCTACCAGTACAGAAAAACAACAACAACAACAAAAACAAAAAACAAAAAACACAAAAAACACATAAACAAGAATAAAAGGTGTGAATTGTTTGACAGTAGTGTATCAGTTTCAGGAAGGTTTTTTGTCTTTTTGGCTTTTGTTTGTTGTAAAATTTTTGTGACGGTTGTGATTAAAGTGCTGTCGCTTTGTTGTGTGGCAGACAAATGGCATTCAGTGTGTGCTGAACAGGCTATATTTGAAGATAATTGGATAAATATAAAAGAATCCCAGGAAATTTTTTTAATGAAAGTACAGCGCAATATTTAACCTCATGAACTTTCTCTTTTGTTTGACTGTCAGCTTGAAATGCAAATAGCAAACTGAGCGAAATGACGTTACGGGTTCCTTTTTTCCACTATTTTTTGACGGTTCGATCAGTTGAACACGAACCACGACTGATGATACTTATAGTTTTTCAAAAGTAAAAGGAATAATCTTTACCGTAGGTCCCTGCATGATCTGATTATCATTCCGAAAGTTAATTTTTCTAGTCTTTCTATATTCTAGAATAATATATTAAATTTCAGTGGCCTTTACAAAACCGATAAGCAAATATTGATCAAAGGAAGACTTTTTTCTTACTCGATACGCGTTCTATCTTAACCTTTCCATATGAAATGTATTTCTATTTTAATTTAATTTTTAGCACAACCTAAACTCTCTTTGTAAGAAAGTACTAGTCACGAGTTGTGCCTTGTTGCTTGTTCTGGGGAGCCTTCCTCCGCATGTATAAGTATAGCTAACTGCTAAAGTGCGGTCAGATTAGCTCGCCTACAGCATCAAAGGTCCCGGTATACCAAACTAGGCAAATATCATCAATGTTCAATCTTTTGCAATAATACTGTAATCGCGCTTCACAAAGACGATTTTACTAAACTGATATAAATTTGATTAAAAGACACTTTGCAATGATGCTCAAATAGCTTGTAACATTCAAGGCAGGCTTAAAACATTATTTTGCACTCTAATATCATTTTGTTTCCTCTTCCCTGAAAGGGTTTCTGTTTTTTTTTGTTTCTTAGAGATTTGATTTTGTTTTTGTTTTCTGTTTTTGTCACAGTCACCCGCTTTCAAATGCTCTCAGAGTTTACTCTTCACCTGACCATTGCTACAATCAATAAGAAAACAACAAAATAAAGGAAAAAAAACAACCCGAGTTTTGAATTAAATCCAGGATCTGAATAAGTTTTCATTTATTACTATTTAAACGGACACATCGTTTAGCACTTTCTTCAAATCAGCTTATTTACATTCACAGGGCATAACTGTAATGACATATTCATTCGGAAAATGTTTTACTTGATATGTTGGTGTTTTTCTTTAAAGTACAATATAATTACACCCGTCACCCTGATGTCTTGTTACTGGCTGTTTTTCCGGACATGACCGCCTTAATCGTCCGGCACTCGATACAGTCTTCACTTATCTTATTCTGTCGTGCTTAAATCCATCCATGTATGCCAGCAAAAGAAACATAACATTTTTTTAACATGCTGTTTAAAAAACCTACTTTTGCTCATTTGAGTTGTCTGAAAGTGCAAATGTTTTAATACAAAGTACGGTGCTATTACTTTCATCATTTAAAATTCGACATTATCAACACCGCTACTTTTACCGAAAAATTTCTCAGCTCACCTTGCCATCAAGAAATTGAACTGATCTTACAAAAGAAACTGTGATTTTACGCCATATCGGTTTGTTCAGTTTTAAGAAGGTCTACCACGTGCACAAGAGGTAAGAATCAAAATCCTGCTTTTCTTTAATTGCCCTTAGTAAAAAAGTTAAATTCATGATGCTTGAGATGCTTATTTTAGGCAGATGAGACGTTTCTTAAACGTTTCAGTATCTCAGTTTTCTCTCTTTCTTCCTTTTTTAAATTTTTTTTTGGCATCTCAGTTCATCATTCGGATAATGTCAGCTCCTCTTTTTATTAGTTCCTTAGACATCGAATAGCCCTTAAGTGACCTCGCTTCTCTCTATATTCTTTTTCTCCCTTCTTCTTCATACGGGAAAAGAACTTGAATGGCACTGAGGTAGATCTTTGTTTCCTTTCACCAAGCAACACTTCGGCAATATTTCTTAATGTTAATTTCAAGAATCCAAACGGCCGGCTAAATGTGTTAACTGACTTAACTGACTTTGTAAATGAGTCACATCAGAGGGCAGCCAAGACACATCAAGCGCAGACGTAAAACTAACCTTCCTTTGCAGTTGAAAATTCCCCTTCGATACATTTCTGGTTATTTCGATATAGATTTGTTATCTACGTCAGATAGAAACGAAAATTTTATTAAACAGTATTGCTTTTCCAGATCGAATTATTACAACATTTTTACCGCATATGAAGTTAAACGCCAACTTTAATTTCTGTGCACCCTATTTATGTCTGAATGAAACTAAGAATAATTACAATATAACTGCATTTAAAATACACGCCTGCATCTTGGCCTTTTCAGAAAATAGAAGATGAGATTCAGGGGTGATGGTTGTTTAATTTGCCTTTTTATGAATACGAAGCATCAAAATACAATTTTAACTGTTGAACATTTTAATTTGTACCTCCAAAAGGACTTCACTTAGTTTCAAATTTAAGGAGATTTCCTAATACCAAATACAGATCATATATGCTAAAAACGCACATAATTTTGAGCTGTCAATCTTGAATGCATATAACGATGTGTGTTTCGAGAAAAATTCATATTCCAAAAATCTCGTCAAACTTACTCTACGTTTTAAGTGTTCGTTCAATATTCTATTCGTAAAAACAAATATCGATAATTGCTTTTTATCGTTCATAAGACAGCTGATCGGAAAATAATCATCGGCAGAAGAGGATTCGTGAAGGTAGAGTAATTATGTCATGTTATGTATGCTTGTCTTTTTATTTTTTTTGTCCTGCTTTAGGAACATACAAGTAAAATATGGCTTTCAACGTCACCTTGAACATGAGCTATTCATCAAGCTGCCCACAGCCTCACTCGACCGACATCGGGGCCACCTGTCAACTCATAGCATACAGCATCATTTTGATTGTTTCCATATTTGGCAATAGCATTCTTATCGGTGCTATATCAAGTAATAGCGCTCGTACTCAATCCGTCATGAACTACTACATCTTCAATATGGCAGCTGCTGACCTCCTGACAACCGTGTTCGACATGGGAATACAGATCTGCCACTATGCTCTGATGGTCATGAACAGACCATTTGAATGGTTGGATGGGCTAAAGGGCGTATTTCTTTGCAAGTTTATCGTTTTTATTCAGGGCGCAGCTATCGCATGTTCTGTGTTCACATTGGTGGCCATTGCGATGAACCGATTTCTTGCCGTTGTGTTTCCATTTCGTCAAAGCCGACAAAACAGAACAGTAATTATCGCAATTTCTCTAATCTGGATGTCTTCGTTCGCTATTGCATCGCCTATGCTCTACGCCATGCATGTGCAGAATGTGGACGGCATTTTGTTTTGTCTGGAGAACTGGGGACCACTTTTTGACAACAGTTCTTCCCCAGGGAATTACACCTTGGCGCTGTTCTGCTTACTCTTCATTGGTCCACTGGCGGTAATGGCGACCTTTTATTTAATCATTGTTTTTAAAGTCTGGTTACGCCCCGTTCCAGGTCACGTGACCGCTCCTAACCAATTACACAAAATCGAAACAAGGAAGAAAATTCTCAAGATTTGCATTACCGTTGTGCTCGTCTTTGCACTTTGTTGGCTTCCGTTTTACATATATCTTATTCTTTATTTTATTGTTTCTCAACATAGGAATAGTTGTGGACCCCCTGAATATGTAGCTTTTCTTGGATTGTTTTTTGGCCATGCAAACAGTGCCATAAACCCTTTTATTTACATCATGTATAATAGTGACTACAAAAAAGGTATAAAGAGGGTTCTAAAGCGACTTCGATGTTCCTGTAGATATAACAGAGTGCGCATGCGCAGTGGCCGAAAAACCTTACAGAGCTTCCCACCTCTCCGAAGCTTTAAGGAACTTGAAATGACCACGCTATAGTTGTCTCTCAATGGAAGACATAAGAGCCAGTGCATGGCTTGTAAACATATGGTCGACATGGAACCCCTACAGAATGACTGGGAGTCTCCGTTTAACTAACTGTAGATACATATTGTACACATAATTTAATTTGCTAGTAAATTGGAAATGGGTTGGCTGATCTGAAGTATTAAGACCTAAAAGTGCAAACATGAAATCTAGCAAAAACAAAGCACAACAAGGCAAAGAAAGAAGATGTTTTCAAAATGGATTGGAATTCTCCTAAAAAGCGCTTCTGAATCCTTTCCCACTTTTACGCTGGTAAGCAGATTATAATATTGTGAAAGGTTTGAACCCAGGGGCCATTTCAAAAGTAGGTTGAGTTTGATCGTCCGGGTGAACGTAGTCCTGAATAGGACTGTTGTTGTTGACAGTGACTGACGTTTCGACAACGTTACCTGTGCGGTAGTCATCTTCAAAGTCAAAGCGAGTTGTATCACGTCAGTTGATGGTATTTTACTCTGGTTATTGATCTGATTGGTCAATTACGTCGCGATGTTATTGGTCGTCTGTCAGTTAAGCCGTGATGTTATTGGCTATGAAGACTCGTGGTCAGTAATTGGTGCGTTTTGATCCGTCTATTGTCGCATTTAAACAGTCGTCTATTGTTAGTCAAATTGTCATTCTCTCGTAGTTAGTTTTGCTTGATCTACGAGAGAATGACAATTTGACGAATAATTTGACTAACAATAGACGACTGTTTAACTCTCATTCAAGTCTTTATATACTACATCAAGAGACTCGATTCAACTGTCGATTCAGTCAATTTGTACCTGCCAGTTGGTAGGCCATTGCAAATTTTATTAAATTTTCTGTAGTGAGTAATTTGATGTTGTCGCACTTATTTCAAGTTGTCCTACCAGAGTTCTAAACGTCTCTTTGAGAACTCAGACTAGCACCCGCAAGCCTTGTTACAATCTTCCAGATTCTCTTTCTTTCGATCGGACTCTTTCCAACACCTTTGGAAACAGTTGTCGTCGCAGTCTGTTAAAAATCCAGCCGGATCCTCCAGACGCTTTGAATCTCTTACTGGAAATCAAAACCGATCAATTAGTAAGTGTTTTTAGTGAGCCTAAAGGGGCTTTGTCCCTTGGGAATTGCTGTTTATAGGTCAATTCTGTGCTGAAGTAATTACTCATGCACAAAATACCTTTGTAGAGTTGAGAAAAAGATATGAANAAAAACGAGAAGAGAAAGAAGAAGAAGTTACAAAAAAAAACCAAAAACAGAAAAAAAAAGGATGTTTTTAGAAGAAGGATGGCGTCATTCCCAAAAGGCTTCATGCCTTCCTCTCCCGCATTTAGGCTGTGTTTTCCCCCCCCCCCCCCCCGCCACCTTCACAAGTATAGATCTAATATCGGGATGTATTATAAATGATACGTAAGTCATAATCATGTTGTAATGTTAACCATATTTTTTGGCGGAAATATTGAAAGCAAGCCAATCATCCCTTTAAGTGACTATACTACCTCAACCATCAGTACTTTAGAGGTGGATCCAGCGTTAAGAACAAACCAATCAGTTAATTTACGCGGTTTATGCAACTCTGCATTCAAAAGTTGAAAAAGTGCCTTAAGGGGCTAAGTTACAGTATTCTGGATGATTATGCCTTTTTCTGTTCATTGAAATTAGAGAAATAAAAGCCTTTTAGTCGTTGAAATCAGCGCCACATACATAACACTAGACGTCTACTAGATGATTCCTCTGACATTTTGATATAAGAGTTGATACAAACATGATATGAGAAGCGGGCCCGGCTGTTTTCATGCAAATTGTTTTGATTAATCTTTTTCAGTTTCACCTGGCTCCTTTTGGACTTTTCTGTACTTACATTTTTCGAAAGTTCAAAGCAGATTATAATATTGTGAAAGGTTTGAACCCAGGGGCCATTTCAAAAGTAGGTTGAGTTTGATCGTCCGGGTGAACGTAGTCCTGAATAGGAATGTTGTTGTTGACAGTGACTGACGTTTCGACAACGTAACCTGTGCGGTAGTCATCTTCAAAGTCAAAGCGAGTTGTATCACGTCAGTTGATGGTATTATATTCTGGTTATTGATCTGATTGGTCAATTACGTCGCGATGTTATTGGTCGTCTGTCAGTTAAGCCGTGATGTTATTGGCTATGAGGACTCGTAATCAGTAATTGGTGAGTTTCGATCCGTCTATTGTCACGATTAAACAGTCGTCTATTGTTAGTCAAATTGTCATTCTCTCGTAGTTAGTTTTGCTTGATCTACGAGAGAATGACAATTTGACGAATAATTTGACTAACAATAGACGACTGTTTAACTCTCATTCAAGTCTTTATATACTACATCAAGAGACTCGATTCAACTGTCGATTCAGTCAATTTGTACCTGCCAGTTGGTAGGCCATTGCAAATTTTATTAAATTTTCTGTAGTGAGTAATTTGATGTTGTCGCACTTATTTCAAGTTGTCCTACCAGAGTTCTAAACGTCTCTTTGAGAACTCAGACTAGCACCCGCAAGCCTTGTTACAATCTTCCAGATTCTCTTTCTTTCGATCGGACTCTTTCCAACACCTTTGGAAACAGTTGTCGTCGCAGTCTGTTAAAAATCCAGCCGGATCCTCCAGACGCTTTGAATCTCTTACTGGAAATCAAAACCGATCAATTAGTAAGTGTTTTTAGTGAGCCTAAAGGGGCTTTGTCCCTTGGGAATTGCTGTTTATAGGTCAATTCTGTGCTGAAGTAATTACTCATGCACAAAATACCTTTGTAGAGTTGAGAAAAAGATATGAAACAAGTTTTGTTACGGAACATTTACCATAAGTAAGTGTAAACCTTTTGGGGGATTTTGCAGGCATAGTACTGCAACTTGAAAAAGTTGTCCGGCCAATTTTTTCAAGTTTCAGTCTACGTTTATCCTTGTAATCCGTTTCAACAGGCGACAGTAAACAGTTTCAGTGCCTAAATATATACTTGAATAACCCAACTGGACCATTATTTTTGGAATTCAATTAATGCGAGAAATATTTTAATTTTTTTTTTAATAACCACAGTGCTTGATATAGCACCTGCGGACAAATTTTTTGAACGTAACGGACAAAACCTTGCACGGACCCGCCTTTCGTTTACACCAGGACCCAGGGAATCCTACATGCCCAAATAATTGAACAGAAAGGTGTGCAAGTGTTTGACCTGATCAAAAGTAGGTCAAAACTTTTGACCGGTGCGGTTCCACTTTTACATCGACTCGACATTGTGCAAGTTACGCCCTTTTACGAACTCTTGTAAACAGTACTAACTGTTTTAACAGAATTTGCACGTGATTTGAAGTATACATGAAATAATTCATTTTTGAACTGCTGTTGTAGATGAAGTGAAGAATGATCATCGCAGTAAATTTTCCGATTGAAGCAATTGGAAAGAAGAAGCCTGAAAAAAATCAGAGCTCATAGCTCAGTTGGTTGGTAGAGCAACTCACTGGTAACGCGGAGATCACGGGTTCGAATCCCGTTGAAGCCCTGACTTTTTTCAGGCTTCTTCTTTCCAATTGCTTCAATTGGAAAATTTACTGCGATGATCATTCTTCACTTTCAATTTGCACGGTTCTGCAAGAAAATCGTCCGTTCAAAAATTTGTCCCTGGACCCGTGTAAACGAGGTCTATAGTAAGCCCTCTTTGCCTTGATTGTATCTGCCATTTGCTATCTTTTTAAAAAGCCAATATGTGTTTGGCATCAATCAAATTCCAAATAAAATGTAGTTTTGTCATTTGTCTATCTTCACAGGCATTGAAACTGTTTTCTGCTATCTATTACAACGGATAGCAAGCATGGAAATGTATTGGAACTTAAATAAGTTGGGCTGAATTGTCAAGTGCTTATTCTTTTGTAAAAATCAGCAAAAACTGAATTATTAGTCAATTTTTGCTTCACGTATACGTCAAACGGCAAACGCGAATTTTTATCACGTGACAAGGTTCTCCTTTAAAATTGTCGTTTACTGAATAAATTGATAGTTTCAAGCAAATTTTTATCCGTAACAATTGTTTTAAGCTTTTGTTATCTGGTCATTTAACTGTTTATCTGTTTATTAATTATGGCAAATTTTACAGAAAGCAATATCCACTGCCCGCAGTTAGCAGATTAGCTAGTCGAGGCGAGCAGTGGTTACCCATAGGTAATATATATACAAATAGATCACATGAAAGTCTAGAGAAAAAGAGTAATAAATGTTAAATAAATAAACGAATAAATTCATTTTAATTAAGTTTACAATCATGTACATTGCAAATATAAGAAGCCGAGTTTCCAGGAAATTTTTGTTGTTAAGTCGGGTAAATCAATATAATCATTTTCTCCTGAAAGTATTCGGAGTAAAGTGTCGTGGACATTGATTTTAACGTTATTTTTGGACATTTGACGCATTTCACACGGTAAACTATTCCAGATTTTTACACCATATCTTGAAAAAGACTTAGTTTGTTTGTCTAACCTTGAGTGTTTAACATAATAGTCACCTCTTGAAGATGATCTTGTATTATATGAATGAATGTTAGATTGAGAAGCAAATAAGTTAGATATCTATCTTGAAAAATTTTCAACTTGAATGAGACGTTTACCTAGCCTGACAAAATAACCGACATTTGGCGACGCTACCACTGGTTTCCCTGCCAAATGACGTCTGAGAAAGGAGCGCAGAAATTCCATTCCGATGACGCTTCACCATGCACCCAGAAGTGATGGGTAGTGCCTGATTGGTAGTGCCGCGTGGGAAATTTGATTAAACCAATCAGATGCACTAGTAGTGACGCGTCATCAGTATGGAATTTCTGTGCTCGTTTCTCAGACGTCATTTGGTGGGGAAACTAGTGGCTGTCGGCTGTTTACTCAGGCTAACGTTTGCCGTTTGCCGTATACGTGAAGCTCTCTAATATGGTCAGATCTCCTTTATGAAATTTGTTTATAATAATATCTTCTTCATATTTCCACAGGAGCATTTTGTGCATGGATGGATGCAATAAGTGTTGATTTCAGCACCGAATTGACCTAAAACACCAATATCCTAGTAGCCCCATCAAAGAACTTAAACCTTGAAACAAAGTAATAAGGGGATATTACCATGAAGACAAAAGAATAATTGAAATACGGTGATGCCGGGGATATGTGACGTCATTCAAAATGGCTGCCATCTAGCTTAAGGTGTACAAATAAACTGAGTTTTGTGCCTGATAATTAGCGTTGCATATACTTGCAGATGCAGTTTTGAAATTTTTGAAACAGTTGAGCCCTTTGCCGTAGTGCCAGCCCTGCATTCAGTTTTTTTTTCACTTTTTTATTGCTTTTGGCACTGTTTTACACGATTTTAAGGCAACACGTTAGAGAGCAGTCAAAAAACACCCGCATTATTAATTTGCCAAAGAAAATGGCCCTAGCTCATATAATTCTGACATACGTCTCGTAACCATATCAACCAACTGTCCCCCGAAGTTTACCAAATAGAACCTTCCACGGTTTTAGAGTTTTGATTGGGACAAGTTGGGGAATATCTACTGTTACTGCTAGAATAACCGTTTTCAAATTAGTGAACTTTGCAAGCTTGACAGTACTACAAGATATACCTTCGCAAAGGCGCGGAATGGTCGTATGGTGGGGGTGGGGGCTACAAACGTCTGTAAGATTTCGCGACTTTGCGGAGCTGTATTCGTCTTCGTCAAGCAATTTAAGAAATTGCTCTCGAAATCGGCAACTTTACTAATTTTAGACTCCTCTTTACAACGGTGTCGGTCGATTTTGCCAAATGGGATGTAAAAAATTGAAAAACCATAGAAGGGGCTTATTGTCCCTGAAATTGTAGCAGCTAAAAAGAGGGCTATGTCTAAAAGCGTTTTGAAATAAGCCTGTAAAAACTATAAGGGAGTGGGTGTCCCCACCAACCTCGCATCCCCCGTACCTCTTGATACAGTTAAGGTTAGCCCACTTCTCAGATCCACTTACCATTATGGATACGACTTCTTAAAAAGTCACGCGAACGGAAATTACGTGACATAACACGGCGAGATGTCACTGTCACAATCAGCAGGGCCAACAGGAAAACAAGGTAAACAGACTTCATTATTTATAGCCGGCAAGGTTTACACTGAAAAAATAACATGCGAACATACGATAAAGTAAGTAGTCAGCAAAATAAAATGAACATAATTTATGATACTCGTAAATTCAAGAAAGACGTGGTTCACAGAGTGGGCCATTTTTTAACGACGTCTTCACCTTTTCTTCTTTTTTTTTTTTTCGTTTCTACAACTTATTTGTCACGATCCCCTGCACTTATTATCTAGCCTGCAAACACGAAACAACGAAATTGCTCCCAGAGTGTTCCCGCCAAAAATAAAATCATGCTCATAAAATCAGACACGCAAAACGCGAGGAAAACTACACCTTTTAATAAAAGTGATCACTAATGTCAAATTTTTTATCGCATTTTGATTTTATTTTAGTTTCAATTGACTTTTTTTTCTGCAAATGGTATTACTCCTCGGAAATACATTAACTAATGTAACTTAACAGTAACCAAAGAAAACGTTCGCGCCAGTAACACCAAATTGATTTCCTTATCAGTCTGAGCTTTTTGATCTTTTTTTTTTTTCATTGAAGTCTTGTGAATATATAGTCAAATCAGTCTGAATTAAAAAATTACACCAGGCAATTATTGAAAATGACTCGAATTTGGGTTCGTTGGCTTAGGTTTCTGTTGGCTCCAAGAAATGCTGCTATTGCAGAGCGCGCAAGAGCGAAAGTTTTCAAAATAAGATGGAAAATTTAGATATCTCTCTAAACTCAAGAAAGTAAATTTGGTACAAATATATAGGCTATTCTGGCTTAGCAATATCAAAATATAATTTGACACAAACGAAAGAACGCATTCAACTTGCAAGTTCTCACAGTTGAATTGGGTCTTACCTTCTGGTGAATGTCGTCTCTTGTAAAGCCAGGCTCATCAATGATATCTTGGAATGTTTCACGAGTTAATATGGTCTCATTGATGACAGCACGATTGACAGTTCTTTCTGACGCAC